TTAAGCAACTGCCTTCAGCTCAGGTCATGATCCTGGAGTCCCAGGATCGAGTCCTGCATCAGGCCCCCTGCTCTGCAGGGAGTCTGCTTCTCCCGCTGACCTCTCTCCTCTCATGCTCTCTCTCAATCTCTCTCTCTCTCTCAAATAAATAAATAAATAAATAAATATTTTTTAAAAAGGTAACCCTAAATACAATGCAGGCATTATTATTCCTCAAGATAAGTGATTTAATCCACTGCCTTTATTGTGATTAGTGATCTACTCAGACACATTCCTGTTTTATTTTTGCTTTATATTTACCATGCCTTTTCTTTGTTGCTTTAGTTTTCCTTTCCTGTTTTCTACCAGATTTATAGTTCTTATTTCTTTTTTTCTCTCTAGTGACTTCTGAAAGTCTTTCTTTTAGTGGGTAGCCTTCAGTTTTTATCATACATATTCAAAAAGGTATAAAGTTAGTATCCTCTCCCAGAACAGACTGTATAATGTGTAACACTGTAACCCTGATTCCTCCCACTTATTCTAACATTATCTAGAATATTCATTTCACCTTATTTCTAGCCCTCTCCCAAATTAATCCTTTCCTTACACCCAGCATAAATTCAGATTTACCAATATGTTTACAATTCATTTGTTCATCAATGCCTCTGAGAAAATATAGAGAATTTATAGAGAAAATATAGAGAATTATAGAGAGAATTCCATTCTCCCCCAGTGGCTGATGTTAATGATGATTTTCTCAGAAAAATGAGATTTCAGGTAATATTTTCATTAAAAGTTTTTTGTATGTTATATATATATTTTTTTTAAATAAGTAGTACTAAATTAAGTATAAAAAATAAACCTATGTTCATACTGGAAAAAAATCAACCTAACGTTTAACACTAAAGAAAGAATAAAGTAGCATATTGAGTGTTCCTATTAAAAAGGGGAAACAGGGGGTACCTGGGTGGCTCAGTGGGTTAGGCCTCTGCCTTCGGCTCAGGTCATGGTCCCAGGGTCCTGGGATCGAGCCCCGCATCTGGTTCTCTGCTCAGCAGGGAGCCTGCTTCCCTTCCTCTCTCTCTCTGCCTGCCTCTCTGCCTACTTGTGATCTCTGTCAAATAAATAAATAAAACCTTTAAAAAAAAAAAAAAAGGGGAAACAGGGGCACCTGGGTGGCTCAGTGGGTTAAAGCCTCTGCCTTCAGCTCAGGTCATGATCCCAGGGTCCTGAGATCAAGCCCCGCATCAGGCTCTCTGCCCAGCAGGGAGCCTGCTTCCTCCTCTCTCTGCCAGCCTCTCTGCCTACTTGTAATCTCTCTCTGTCAAATAAATAAATAAAATCTTTAAAAAGGGGGGGGGAAATGAAAGTAAAACTTCATCCAAATGTAACATTCTAGAGGGAAGGTGAATGTGAAAAAAAAAGATATTCTGCTTACATTATATATGACCATTTCAGACACTTTTGACAACTAGACAAAGGTGTAGACTTCAAATTTTTAAAAATGGGCTTCTGGGGAATTTAAGATCATGTTTGAGCTGAGTGTAAATAATATTTTGGTTTTCTTCTTGCCAAAATCATGTTCTGGCGATGAGCTTATCTAGGAAAGCGTGAGGTCAATGATAGAAAGTTACCCATGTAGCAATACGTATATATTGTACGCCCCATGAAATGCATTAGAATTAGTGGGATTCACGATTTCATTTTAGCGCCTGACAATGATCTAGTTTAAATAGAAAAACATTTTCTTTGTTCCAGCTTTTCAAACATTTGATTTTGGTTCATACTCAGCTATTTCTCTTACTCCATTAATTTCAGCATTTAAGAAAGGGAGCAAACAGTTTAGCTCATGGAGCTCAGACCATAATGTCAAATAACACTCCCAGCCTCCTTCTCATTCTCAGTCTACCCCCTGATGCACAAGACCTCTCAAGAATCTCACATTGTGGGCGCCTGGGTGGCTCAGTGGGTTAAAGCCTCTGCCTTCAGCTCAGGTCATGATCCCAGGGTCCTGGGATCGAGGCCCGCATCAGGCTCTCTGCTCAGCGGGGAGCCTGCATCCTCCTCTCTCTCTGCCTGCCTGTCTGCCTACTTGTGATCTCTCTCTCTCTGTCAAATAAATAAATAAAATCTTTAAAAAAAAAATAAAAAGAATCCCACTGCTATTCAACATAGTACTAGAAGTCCTAGCCTCAGCAATCAGACAACAAAAAGAAATTAAAGGCATCCAAATCGGCAAAGAAGAAGTCAAACTATCACTCTTCGCAGATGATATGATACTATATGTGGAAAACCCAAAAGACTCCACTCCAAAACTGCTAGAACTTGTACAGGAATTCAGTAACGTGTCAGGATATAAAATCAATGCACAGAAATCAGTCGCATTTCTCTACACCAACAACAAGACAGAAGAAAGAGAAATTAAGGAGTCCATCCCATTTACAATTGCACCCAAAACTATAAGATACCTAGGAATAAACCTAACCAAAGAGACTAAGAATCTACACAGAAAACTATAAAGTACTCATGAAAGAAATTGAGGAAGACACAAAGAAATGGAAAAATGTTCCATGCTCCTGGATTGGAAGAATAAATATTGTGAAAATGTCTATGCTACCTAAAGCAATCTACACATTTAATGCAATTCCTATCAAAGTACCATCCATTTTTTTCAAAGAAATGGAACAAATAATCCTAAAATTTATATGGAACCAGAAAAGACCGCGAATAGCCAAAGAAATATTGAAAAAGAAAGCCAGAGTTGGTGGCATCACAATTCCGGACTTCAAGCTCTATTACAAAGCTGTCATCATCAAGACAGCATGGTACTGGCACAAAAACAGACACATAGATCAATGGAACAGAATAGAGAGCCCAGAAATAGACCCTCAACTCTATGGTCAACTAATCTTCGACAAAGCAGGAAAGAATGTCCAATGGAAAAAAGACAGCCTCTTCAATAAATGGTGTTGGGAAAATTGGACAGCCACATGCAGAAAAATGAAATTGGATCATTTCCTTACACCACACACGAAAATAGACTCAAAATGGATGAAGGACCTCAATGTGAGAAAGGAATCCATCAACATCCTTGAGGAGAACACAGGCAGCAACCTCTTCGACCTCAGCCGCAGCAACATCTTCCTAGGAACATCGCCAAAGGCAAGGGAAGCAAGGGCAAAAATGAACTATTGGGATTTTATCAAGATCAAAAGCTTTTGCACAGCAAAGGAAACAGTTCACAAAACCAAAAGACAACTGACAGAATGGGAGAAGATATTTGCAAACGACATATCAGATAAAGGGCTAGTGTCCAGAATCTATAAAGAACTTAGCAAACTCAACACCCAAAGAACAAATAATCCCATCAAGAAATGGGCAGAAGACATGAACAGACATTTCTGCAAAGAAGACATCCAGATGGCCAACAGACACATGAAAAAGTGCTCCATATCACTCGGCATCAGGGAAATACAAATCAAAACCACAATGAGATACCACCTCACACCAGTCAGAATGGCTAAAATTAACAAGTCCGGAAATGACAGATGCTGGCGAGGATGCGGAGAAAGGGGAACCCTCCTACACTGTTGGTGGGAATGCAAGCTGGTGCAACCACTCTGGAAAACAGCATGGAGGTTCCTCAAAATGTTGAAAATAGAACTACCCTATGACCCAGCAATTGCACTGCTGGGTATTTACCCTAAAGATACAAACGTAGTGATCCAAAGGGGCACGTGCACCCGAATGTTTATAGCAGCAATGTCTACAATAGCCAAACTATGGAAAGAACCTAGATGTCCATCAACAGACGAATGGATAAAGAAGATGTGGTATATATATACAATGGAATACTATGCAGCCATCAAAAGAAATGAAATCTTGCCATTTGCGACAACGTGGATGGAACTAGAGGGTATCATGCTTAGCGAAATAAGTCAATCGGAGAAAGACAACTATCATATGATTTCCCTGATATGAGGGAGAGGAGATGCAACATGGGGGGTTAATGTGGTAGGAGAAGAGTAAATGAAACAAGTTGGGATTGGGAGGGAGACAAACCATAAGCGACTCTTAATCTCACAAAACAAACTGAGGGTTGCTGGGGGGAGGGGGGTTGGGGGGGGTTATGGACATTGGGTAGGGTATGTGCTACGGTGAGTGCTGTGAAATTTGTAAACGTGGAGATTCACAGACCTGTACCCCTGGGGGGAAAAAAAAAATATATATATATATATATATGTTTATAAAAAAATAAAATTATTAAAAAAAAAAATAAAAAAAAAATAAAAAGAATCTCACATTGTTCTCACAGCAATGACAGACTTTACATCCCTAAGGGAGTCTTCTTCCTGTCTTAAAGTCTGCATTTGCTCAGATGCTATTACTGCTAAGGACAGGAGCTGAGAGAGAACTAGGAGGGGAGAAGTAATATTAAATAAAGCAAAATAAAGCTTTATTTTTTTAAATGATTTTTTAAAAGATTTTATTTATTTATTTGACAGAGATCACAAGTAGGCAAAGAGGTAGGCAGAAAGAGAGAGAGGAGGAAGCAGGCCCCTGCGGAGCAGAGAGCCTGATGCAGGACTCGAATCATGGAATCATGACCTGAGCCGAAGGCAGAGGCTTAACCCACTGAGCTACCCAGGCGCCCCAAAACAAAGCTTTAAAAGGAAATGAGAGATAACTCGAGAAAAGCTTGAGTTTATAACTGGTTTACATATACACTTTTGTGGTTTGCCGAGTGATTCGGTGTGACTACCTGTTTAATTGGCATGTAGTCTTAGTATTGAAAACTGTTAGGCAGGCTTAACTTAGATCTGATGGATATTCCGAAAATGATTCTCATGCAGAATCTTCACCCATCATCACCCTACAAAAATGCTCGAGGGGCGCCGGGGTGGCTCAGTGGGTTAAAGTCTCTGCCTTCCGCTCAGGTCATGATCTCAGGGTCCTGGGATTAAGGCCCGTATCGGGCTCTCTGCTCAGCATGAAGCCTGCTTCCTCCTCTCTCTCTGCCTGCCTCTCTGCCTACTTGTGATCTCTGCCTGTCAAATAAATAAATAAAATCTTTAAAAAAAATGCTCTTGAAAGATAAATAATTCCAAGTTCACATATTTAATCCAAAAATGTAGGCTTGTGAGAGAAAACCTGATTCGGCGAATTTAGGTTCAAACTATACCTAAGCCTCACAACCACCAAAGAAAGGGTGTAAAGACTTTTTTACATTATCAAGCAATACTTCAAGTGAAATATAAAATGTCCACTTAAATCAGCATTGGTTCAGGTTTTAAAAGAGAAAACAGAACTTACATAATATCAAATTATAAAATAGCTGCTAAGCAGCTCATGGAAAGAGAAAAGCTTTTCAAATAGCTTGATACAACACCTACGCTAGTCACCCCGCAACTTCCAAACAAGCCTAAGATATCTCTAAACCAACTTCCAAAACAAAAATGCAGTAATTTTCTTCCAGAAGTCTACGCAAAGAATCCTAACATCTAATTTTTCTAAACAAAGTACCCCAGTCATACTACTTGAGCTAGGTTCATTCCTACTTATATAGCTATGCCAGTGAAATAGTATGGCTTTTGGGACGCCTGGGTGGCTCAGTTGGTTATGCGGCTGCCTTCGGCTCAGGTCATGATCCCAGCGTCCTGGGATCGAGTCCCACATCGGGCTCCTTGCTCAGCGGGGAGCCTGCTTCTCCCTCTGCCTCTGCCTGCCTCTCTGTCTGCCTGTGCTTGCTCACTCTCTCTCCCTCTGTCTCTGACAAATAAATAAATAAAATCTTAAAAAAAAAAAAGAAATAGTATGGCTTTTATTCACATGACTATTTACCTGAAAAAAAGCCTTTCTTCCCATACTAAGTGCTTAGAGTATAAAACACAGTTTTTGGGATGCCTGGGTGGCTCAGTCAGTTAAGTGGCTGCCTTCAGCTCAGGTCATGATCCTAGTGTCCTGGGATCGAGTCCCACATAGGGCTCCTTTCTCGACAGGGAGCCTGCTTCTGCCCCTGCCTGCCTGTGCTCTCTCTCTCTCTCTGACAAATAAATAAAATATTAAAAAAAAAAACCACAGTTGTTTTCTTTCTTCAATGTCCAGTTAATCAGGATTAAACAAACACAATATTGCAATAAAATATTATAAATAGTAAATAGGCAAAAAAAGAAATAACATATTATCCAATGTCCTCAGCCGAGCAGAGGCAGTACAGGACTTCATCACTGTCCCTTACTTTTTACTTAAAAGGAGGCTCCAGAAGGCTTAGCCACAACTATTCATAGGTGCCATGAAATGGTTCACAAGGACTGAACTTTATTCTATTTAAGCCATATGATTTCACTTATAATTGGCAAGCCTTCGTATGGTGGTTTTAAGTTTGAAGAGACAATGATGATGTTTACCAAACATAATCCCGGTTTAAAGATTTTTACGTATTTTTTATGGCAATAAAATACACACACAAAATTTATTATTTTAACCATTTTAAGTGTACAATTCATTGGCATTAAGTACAGTCACAATGCTGAGTAACCATCACCATAACAGATGTAATTTTGTGTAAGTGCATAGCATAGGGACGCCTGGGTGGCTCAGTCGGTTAAGCTGCTGCCTTTGGCTCAGGTCATGATCCCAGGGTCCTGGGATCAAGTTCCGCATTGGTCTCCTTGCTTGGCAGGGAGCCTGCTTCTCTCTCCGCCTCTGCCTGCCACTATGCCTGCTTGTGCACGCGCGCTCTCTCTCTCTCTGACAGACAAACAAACAAATAAATAAATAAATAAAATCTTTTTTTAAAAAAGTGCATAGCATGTATTTCAAACCTATAGTTATACAAATTTCTTAAGCAATGCAGACATTTGTATAACTCGTATGACAATCAAATTGGGCCAGTACATATATTAATTATAGTCAGGTTGATGCCTTGATTTTTAAATTTTTTACAACTTTCTCAGTTTTATGCTATACAGTAAAATTGTCAATTTATAACCCAAAGTTTTCTATAATCTTCTCAATAAAATTAGTAGTGTCACAGAATATGAATTTCAGAACATGCTTTTCCACATTTATCCAATTCATAGTTTTTCTCATGATGAATTCTTTGCTGCTTTATTAAAAGGCTAATTAATTGTAAGTTTTTCACATTCACATAGCTTCCATGTTTTTATGACTCCTTTGATGGAGAATGAGATGTGTCTTCCCGGTTAAAAGATTTCCCACATGCACTGCATTTGTTTTGTTGCTCTGCTGTGTGAGTTAAGTAATGTTTAAGGAGATGTGACTTCTTGATGAAGGCTTTTCCACATTTAGTACACCCATGGGGTTTCTCACCTGTATGAATCCTCTGATGCATGACTAGCACTGAGGAGTCTGCAAAGGCTTTGCCACATTCTCTACAACTGTACAGTTTTTCTCCTGTGTGAATTCTACAATGTTTATAAAGAGAGGAGCTGTACTTGAAGGTTTTCCCACATTCCTTACATTCAAATGAGTTCTCAAGTGTATGCGATTTCACGTTTGGTAAAGGAGGAGTGCCAAGTGAACGACTTCCCACACTGAGGGCATTTGTAAGGTTTCTCTCCCGTGTGGAGTCTTTGATGGACCACCAGTTGTGCTTTATGCATAAATGCTTTCCCACAGTCATTGCACACATAGGGTCTCTCTCCACTATGAATTTTTTGATGAGCTATAAGGTGTCCCTTACTGCTAAAGGCTTTCCCACAGTCATTGCATTCAAAGGTTTTATTTTTCCTTATATGTTTCTTTTCATGTCTAATGAGACGAGACTTCTTTTGGAAGGCTTTCCCACATCAGTGCATCCAAAAGTTTTTTTTCTTGCAGGTTTTTTTCCATGCCTACTGAGACAAAACTTGTTTTTGAAGGCTTTTCCACATTCCTTGTATTCATAAGAGTTTTCTCTGATGTAATTTTTATTGTAACTGAGCAAGTGTGAATTAGGTTGCAGACTCTTTCCATTTGACTCACATCTATGTTGTATTTGTCTTGAAGAAATACATTTTGTGTTCAGATTACAATTCTGGACTCTCTTCTTGGTCAGTGTTTTCTCAAAGGTGAACATATCTTGGTCCAAAAAATTGTCTTTGCTTCCTAGCGCATCATCAAGTAAGCAGATAACTTCTTAAAAAGTGTAAAATGAAACATTCCCAGTTACTGTTTTCAACCTCATATTATAAAAAGAAAAAATTTAAATTATATAATGTCAGGGGCGCCTGGGTGGCTCAGTGGGTTAAAACCTCTGCCTTTGGCTCAGGTCTTGTGGGATCGAACCCTGCTTTCATTGGGCTCTCTGCTCAGCGGGGATCCTGCTTCCTCCTCTCTCTCTGCCTGCCTGTCTGCCTACTTGTGATCTCTGTCTGTCAAGTAAATAAATAAAATCTTTTTAAAAAATTATATAATGTCAGCAAAGATGCCTATTCTGACCACTTCTCTTCAACAGAGTCCTGAAGTCTTAGCTAGATCAATTAGGTAAGAAAAAGAAATAAAGACATCCAAACTAGAAAGGAAGATGTAAAAATATCTCTGTTCACAGATGATATGATCTCATATGTACAAAACCCTCAAGATTCCACAAAAAAGTATTAGAACTAATACACAAATTTGGCAAAGTTGTAGCATGCAAAGTCAACATACAAATATCAGTTGTGTTTCCATACGCTAAAACAAACAATCCAAAAAGCAAATTAAGAAAATCATCCTATTTACAATAGTATCAGAAAGAATCAATCTGGTAACCAAGGAGGTGAAAGACTTGTATATTAACAACTACAAAATACTAATAAAAGAAATTAAAGGCAAGTAAATGGAAAGACATCTTGTGTTCATGGACTAGAAGACTTAATACTGTTAAAATGTACATACTACCGAAAGTGGTCTACAGATTCAATGCAATTCAATGGCAAATTTTGCAGAAATAGAAAAAAAAATTCTAAAATTCATATGGAACCAAAAAGGACTCAAATTGCTAAAATTTCTTGAGAAAGAAGAACAAAACAGGAGGCCTGACACTTCCTGACTTGAAACCATGTTACCAAATTACAGTGATCAAAACTGTATAGTACTGGCATAAAGACAGACATATAGACCAAGAGAACAGAAGAGAGAACCCAGAAATAAATCCATGCTTATATGGTCTTCAACAAGTGAGTCAAGACTACACAATGGGGAAAGGATGGTCTCTTCAACGGCTGATATCCGGGAAAACCAGATACCCATGTGTTAAAGACTGAAAATGGACTCTAATCTTACACCATATACAAAAATATATTAGAGACTTAAATGTAAGACCTGAAACTATAAAACTCCTAGAAGAAAACATAGGGGAAAAGTTTCATATGATTGGTTTTGGCAAAGATTTCTTACATGACTCCTAGAGCACTGGCAGCAAAAGCAAATACATACAAGTGGGACCACATCAAATTCAAAAGCTTCTGTGCAGCAAAGGAAACAATCAGCAGAGTGAAAAGACAACCTACAGCATGGGAGAAAATATTCTAAAAACATTTATCAGATAAGAGGTTAATATCCCAAATCTATAAGGAACCCCTACAACTTAATAGCAAAACAATGGGCAAAGGACTTGAAAAGACCTATCTCTAAAGGAGACATAAATGGTGAACAGGTATATGAAAAGATGTTCAATATCATTAATCACGGAAATGCAAATCAAAACCACAGTAAGATCACACCTCGCATCTGTTAGGATGTCGATTAGAAAACAACAACAACAACAACTAACCAGTACTGGCAAAGATGTGGAACTACTAGAACCCTGGTGCACTGTTGGTGGGAATGTAAAATGGAGCCACTGTGTAAAACAGTATGGAATTTCCTCAAAAGTATCAAAAATAGAACCACTATACAATTCAGCAATCCCACTTCTGGGCATTTATCAGAAAAACTGAAAACAGGATTTCCTAGAGATGTTTACACTCTTGTGTTCACTGGAGCGTTATTCACAACAGCCAAGAATTAGAAATAATCTAATGTTAATCAACAAATAAAGGGATGAAGAAAATATAGTATACACACACGCATACTTTTAAAAAGAAGAAAATCCTGTCATGAGCTATATGGATGAACCCTGAAGACATTAGACTAAGTGAATAAGCCAGCCACAAAAGGATAAATATTGCAAAATTCCACTCATAGGAGGTATTTAGAAATAGTCAAACACATGTGGGGCACCTGGGTAGCTCAGCTGGTTAAGCATCTGACTTGATTTAGGCTCAGGTCATGATCTCAGGGTCCTGGGATGGAGCCCTATGTCAGGCTCCATGCTCAAGAGGGGAGTCTGCTTGGGAATTCTCTCTCCCTCTCTTCCTCTCCTTCCCTACACTCGTGCACTCTCTCAGATAAACAAATTTAAAAAAAAAAATGACCAAACATAAATTGCTTTTGCATCCATCATCGTTATTTCTACCAATTGATATGACTTTGTCCTGGAAATTAACTGCTTTTTATAAACTCTTTCAATCTCCCAGATATAAGTCTCTAGAACCCTGTTCTGCCTGTGACACCACATGCTTCCAACTCAAATTTCCCATTCTGGTTTCCACGCTTAGTGACTTCTATTAACTCTGGGGACCTGAAACAGAAGACTTTTAATTTTTGGCAACCTTTGTCTTTTATATATTTTGTGGTCAAGGTCAATTCTGATTGTCACCATGATGCCACACCTCGTCCAATGTAGTATCATCACCACTGAGCTCATATCCCTACAACATTAAGTCCACGGATACAATAACGCTAGGGAAAATGGGGAGAAGATGGTTCTTCATTATTTCTGAGATTTTATTCACTTCCATTAAGAGGCGATATTAGTGGGGCACCTGGGTGGCTCAGTGGTTAAAGCCTCTACTTTCGGCTCAGGTCATGATCCCAGGGTCTTGGGATCGAGCCTCACATCGGGCTCTCTGCTCGGCAGGGAGCCTGCCTCCTCCTCCTCTCTCTCTCTGCCTGCCTCTCTGCCTACTTGTGATCTGTCTGTCAAATAAATAAAAATCTTTAAAGAAAAAAAAAAGGAGTTCCTATAAAAAAAAAAAGAGGTGATATTAGTGAATACTCTAGACTCTTAGCTCATTCCTTATTTCTCAAATCCACATGATCTGACTACCTTATAATAATCAGATGTATGGAAAAGATGTGTGCTCACATTGAGGATAAAAGGAGAATGAAGATTTTAGGAATTAAGAGCACAAAGCAAGGGCCTCCATGGAACAGGCAGTGCAGGGGCCCAGGGCAGAGAGAAGAGGGACCTCCCTCCAGACAAAAGCTGAGCAATGAGAAAGAGCAGCTCTGTGAGCACAGGGAGTCAAGGTGTCATCTGGGGATCTGATGATGGTATATCAAAGGGACCCAAAGCTGTGTGGCTTTTAAGAAGGCCTTCCTCAAAGAGCTGCTTCCAAGCTACCTGTCCCTCACTGACCAACTGGAATCTCAATTCCAAAGACTCCCATCTGCCTGGTTTTCTTTCACTCACCTGGACAGCGCCAGCATGGGTTCTCTCCCTCCCCCAGCCATGGCTCTTGTCCTTGCTCTGCCTTGAAGACGCCTTTTGTTTTGGTACCGGGGCCCCCTGTTCATGGGAAACAACACAGAACTGGAGACAAAGTGCTAGAGACAAATCACTACCTCACAATTCAGGCTGCCTCCTTGAGTCTCAGGGCCTGGAAAGGATGACAGACAGGCTTTAGAACAGAAAAGACCCTTCTCCTCCACCTGGGAGACAGAAGCATAAACACTCTATCTGTTTATGCGTCATCTCAAAGGGGATGAAGAATCTGTGACCGCTAACGTTCAGGGCCAAACTTAGGAACGCTTCAGAACGTCCACAGCTTCCACAAGTCCTAGAGGAAGGGCACTAGGAGTACATTCTTAGTTCCACTGAGGAGTCACCACCCACTGTCCTTACCCACTGAGATGAGGTTTCTGAAGTTCTCCAACATCACATTCCAATACAAGGTTCTCTGATCACAGTCAAGCAGCTGCCACTCCTCTGGGGTGAAGTCCACAGTCACGTCCTGGAATGTGATGGATCCCTGTAAGAGCACATTCATCTTCAGCCTGTCGTGAGTACCGCCGGGGGAAGGGGAGGGGATTCGGAGCAATTCCTCCCATTACGTTCATTGTTCTGAGTCCGCAGTTCAGTTATACAGGGTAACAAAAAACTACTATGTACTTGACTCAGAATTAAAATTTGGGAAAACAAAAATCATATTCAAATGATCCCACTATATACATAAATATACATCCATATATATGGGAAGGGAGAGAGGAAGAGAAGGAAAGAGAGAAAATATTAAGTTCACTGAGCATTGCTTTGGTCTCATGTATTCAGTTTATACAAAAGGAAACTAAACAATGGTCATATGAAAACTGCTACTGCATTTACAACAAATCTCCTACATAAATACACAGCCCAATTTTTCTTTCGTAGTCTGTGCCAGGCAAACCTTTATCCACGGAATTGTTACAGCTTATTGTCTAGGACAAGGCCAAGAATTCACTGATTGGGTATCCTTTTTCTATGAATGCCAAGATTCAGCAAACATTTACATCTCAGCATGAAAAATCATGTGCAGACCCGACGGCCTTCACATCAACTTTCTAAGTTCGTGTTCAATTTAAATGTCTATCTATATTTTTCCTGTTTCTTATATAGTAATACTTTCCCATGTCAGTATATGGATTCTTATTAAGTCACTGCAAATCCACCAAAAAACAAAGTGAAATCTGAATGAATAAATGCATGGACAGATGGATGGATGTCTTGTCTGGAAACTGGTAATTTTCTGATACTCATGGGAAAGGACACAGACCTATGAAAACGAGACTTCGGGGATTTCTCTGCCTTTCCAGCCTAGAAATAAGTACTCATATGCCAGCTACAGAAAAGGCTGCTTGGAAGTCAGGGAAGTCCACATTCTAGAAGAACCAACGCATCTACTTTAAATTCTAATATGATCATCGGAAACTTGGACAAGATGTTCTCTTTTGGGTAGATGTACACATTTCTTCCCTATTGATCTATTATAACTTACTGTTCATTTCTTAGCTAGTGATTTATTTTCACCCAGAAATTTATCCTAAAGAAATAAAATGGAATGGATGCAAAGATTAAAGCCTAGGCTGGGGAGCCAGGCAGCCTGGCTTCAAATTCAGCTACTCCACCTACTAGCAGTGTGACCCTGACAGTTACCCTAAACACTTTATAGCTCACTTTTCTTATCTGAAAAATGCTGGTAGTATAAGTCATAGGATTTTGTCAAGATTAACTAAGTTAATACTTGTAAAGCATTCAGAACAATATATGGTGCATGGTAAGCATTCAGTAAAACCGTAATTATTTTTAAAAATAAGGAAGGAGAGATAAAAAGTGATGTTTTCACATCATTGCTTATAATCTGAAAACAGCCTAAATATCCATTAATATAGTGTTGATTTTTAAAAAATGCTATAGGAAGAAACTGTTATGGAAAAAGGTTCCATTTATATTTGTAGGTGGAAAAAAGTACATAAAATATGTAATACGATCCTTCCCTGCGCTTTTAAAAAATATACACACAGGGACACCTGGGTGGCTCAGTCGGTTAAGTGTCTGCCTTCGGCTCAGGTCATGATCTCAGGGTCCTGGGATCAAGTCCCACATCAGGCTCCCTGCTCAGTGGAGAGCCTACTTCTCCCTCTGCCTGCTGCTCCCCTTGTGCTTGTGCTTTCTCTCTCTCTGAAAAATAAATAAATAAAATATTTTTAAAAAAGTATTTGGTGAGATATATCATATTTAAAAAATATGCACACAGAGACATGCAATCTTGGCAGTTATATATCAAAATGTAAATAATTCTTATTTAGGGTTACAGAGGGAAAGCAGGGTCCGATGTAACTTTTATTTTATACTAGTACTTTCTAAATTTTTTATAATGCATTACTTTTTCAAAGATATATGTACATATATACATACACACATAAAAAAAACAACTATACATGCACAATTTACAAAGATACAAATTTTAAGCCAAGGTCTGTCTCTATACTATCTTGGTTCCACCTCTTCTAATCTCACCTACTTCAATCTTCCAATCACTCTCTTATAGCTCACCCTGATCAGACCTTCCACTTTCTTGCTGCTCTTCCAAAATACCAAGACTGATTACTCAGGATCTCTGTATATTTCATATGCTTGGACTGTTCTTCCCCAGAAAAAACCCAGATACTGCATAGCTCACTCTACCTTCCCCACGTCATTTAGCAGTGAGGCTTTTCTTGACCACCTCACATAAAATAGCTTCCTTCCCTGTCACCATCACTTCGGACACCCTTACTCCTTTTCCTCAGGAGCACAGATTATGTACATGTTCATTTGGGCTTCATTTATTTCCTCCCATGAAAAGTAGACTCTGTTCACCGTGGTACACCAAGCACCAGAACAGTGTTTGGTCCACAAGATACTTAGCAAATGTTTGCTGAGTGAATTGATGGATAAACCTCTCCTAATGTTGGTCTTCTTGCTAGGCATTTTCTGAACACCCTTATTAAGCAACTTGGGCCCAAAGGAACTGTGAGGCCGGAAAAAGAACAAGGGTCTGGGAATTAAAGATTTTAAAGGTCTGGGATTTGGGGCCTGACTTAGCCATTAACAAGCTGTGAGGCTGCAGGCACTCAATGGCCATCTCTGGGCTGATTTCATTCCTTCTGAAAATGAAACAGAACTAGAAGATTCCTAAAAGACCTCCTAGCACTACCAGCCTGTGGTCACTCTGTAAACTATTTGTGCATTTAGGTAAGGGGAGAAAGGGAATCAGTAGCCCCAAAAGGCAACTGTCACAATAAACAGTATGGAGCCAGTCTAATCTTGAAAGATCCAATGGACCAATAGGAAATGAAGGGAAAACATCTGCATTACTGTGTTTTTGTGAGAGCCCAGGAGGGAGGGAGAGGAAGGGAGACAAGGACAAAGGGAGGGGTGGCAGATGGGCAGAGAAGGAGAGAACCTGTTTAGCAAAGAAAGTTTCTTTGGGTAGTAGTTCCTGTTTCTTCCTTTACCTTAATCATATCCTCCTCCTCCTCCAAGTGAGTTTCCTTTTCCTGTGGGGCCTGACCACATACACCCAACTCTCCGCTTTTATGTAATTTCTCACCTCTCTCCTCAAACACTTGGGACACCTCTGCCGACAAAGTCCTTGAAGGCACTCACTTGCAATGCCATGAGTCAAGCCCTACTCTCACTAGACAGGAGGGACAAATGTTGATTCCCGTCTCTCCTGAAATGGGATAAAAGGTCACAGTTCAAGAGAGTCTCCTCCCCTTTCCTTCTAGAAAAAATGGACTGGATGACAGACAAGCAACACTCCAACTGGAACCTTCACATTGGGGCCCACTTCTGTAAACTCACCATCACCTGTGGCCCTAGGCTGGCTTTGTGTGGATGGATTTTACCCAGGGCTGCTGGAAACTGAAACAGGCAGGAACATGCGAGAGGGACCCACGGGTTCAATTACACAGCCTTCCTGCAGAGACACCAAGAGTTCTCTCAAAAAACAGTGATTAGCTCTCACTCCTCAGAAACAATGCAAACTAACTTCTTTGTTGTAGGCAGAGTGCTAAGTTGCAAAAAGAAGTGAAATCTCAGGTAAAACTGCTACAAGTTTGAATACCATCGCTTCCGCTTACTGGCTGTGTGATTTGAAGCAGTAACTACCCTCCTCTCTGTAAAACGATGAGGACACTTACATCGCAGAGTAACCATGATAAATAAATTCCATACTCTTGAAAAGTGCTTAACAGTGTCTGGCTCTGGGTATACTTGTTCTCGTCCCCGCCACGTTGAGGGGATTTACAGCCTTTTGCGAGTCAAAAGCTCCTGGAGTGAGATGAGGTTCAGTTCAACGCCCAAGCGTGGAGTCCCTAGGCAGCGCACAGCACCTACAACACAGCGACGCACTGACCCGCCTCACCCCAGCCAGACCTGGGCTCCACCTCAGGGAAGCGAGAGTCCAACCCTTCCTCGGCTTTCTCTGAACCAAATGGTCCCGTGCAGAGGGATTACCTACAGTTTTACTTCCTTTGCATGAACCAACAAGCCAGTCTTTGCTCTTCAACTGTCCCTCCAGCCCTTCGTGGTCACCTGCAGCTCGGCACCCAAGCAAGCCAGAGAACTCAGGACACTTCCGGAAGGCTCCCTACGCGCGCGCAGAAGTAGCGACCCGCCCACTTTCCCAGGGTCCTCTGGGGGAAATCCGCTGAGACTACGTTTCCCACAAGGTTCGTGGAGTTTTTGTCGGAAAGCCGTAGGGGTTTCCTCTTCACCTCGTGGAGATTTCTGCTTTGGCGGCACTTAAGCTTCGTGGAAGAGCTCTGGTTATATTGGAGGAAAATGTGTACGTAATTCTTAGTTATTAATATAGACATGACCTATAGAAAGCATATGCCTTATCCACACGGCAAATAGAAAACAGTAATTTATTAAAAGCAAAATATACTATGGCCAAGTAATTTCTTCTTTCATTTTCTTTTTAAAAACAAGATATTTTGAGTAACACAGGAATAGCATAAATACGTTTTATTTTAAATAATTTTAAAATATAAACTGTTTGAGGTATTAGAGCCCCGTTAAAAAGTTTGGGTTGTGAGTGTGTGTGTGTGTGTGTTGTTTCAGGCAGCCTAATTATGAGTATATTTTCAAAGTTTTGTGTGTGTGTGTATATGTGTGTGTGTGTGTGTGTGTGTGTGTGTTGTTTCAGGCAGCCTAATTATGAGTATATTTTCAAAGTTTTGTGTGTGTGTGTGTGGTTTTTTTTTAAGATTTATTTATTTATTTGAGAGAGCTCGCGCAACCATGGGGAGAGGCAAAGGGAAAGAGAATCAGTCCCAAAGCGGACTCCCTGTTGAGCGTAGAGCCAGAGGCAGGGCTCAATCGGAGGACCCTGAGGACCTGAGCGGAAATCAAGAATTGGTTGCTTAAACCACTGAGCCCCCACCCACCGCGCCCCCTCAAAGTGTGTTGTGATGTGTATACACACACACACACACACACACACACACACACACACACCCTACATATAGTCTTGCTATAAAGGAACATTGGCAAGAAGCGAATTTCAAGTTTCACTCAGGGAAAAGACTTTGTAAATAGAAAGAGATTTATTTTAGAAAAAGAACATTATTGGGGCGCCTGGGTGGCTCAGTGGGTTAAAGCCTCTGCCTTCAGCTCAGGTCATGATCCCAGGGTCCTGGGATGGAGTGCCCCATCGGGCTCTCTGCTCAGCAGGGAACCTGCTTCCTCCTCTGCCTGCTTCTCTACCTACTTGTGATCTCTGTCTGTCAAATAAATAAATAAAATCTTTAAAAAAAAAAAAAAAGAACATTATTGAGGGACACCTGGGTGGCTCAGTCAGTTAAGCGTTCTACTCCAAGCCTCTCTCAATTTATCGTGGTAGGGAATGGAAAGTGGTAAATGAGGCCAGCAGCTTTCCCCCTTTGTCCCCCTTGGTTGATCTCATAGCAGAGTGCCTCCAGCTCCTGCACAGTTGCCCCTCCTGCTGTGCATGGTGGCCAGCAGCTTTCCTGGCCTCCCACAGCAGTTACTAAGTTCCCAGTGAGACACCTCCTAATGAAGAGCTTCCCCCAGTACCCCAAGGGGTGGATTTCCAACAGCTTCTGCAGGTGCAATGGCACAGCAACTTCTCTGCCATTCTGTGAGCCACGGCTGAGGTCTTCCCACCAAGGTCTGAATCTCAGCACCAGCTGGGGGGGTGCTCTTCCTTTGGACACTCTATCCGAGCCCTAGAGATAGTGATTCTGGTTTCTGTGATTCACTTAAAAACTAATTTAAGAGTGAGTGGATACTGGGAACAAATATAAAAAAAGAAGACTGGCCTTGAATTGCTGATTGTTTAAGTAGGAAGCAGGTACATGGATGGGAATTCATTATACTATTCCCTCTATTTATGTGTATGTTTGAAAATTTCCATTACCTAAAATAAAAAGTAAATAAAAAAGAAAAAACAAAGCCCTAAAATTAATTCCAAACAGAAGAAAATGAACCTAACTGCATATTAAATCAATAACAAACATGCAAAGAAATGAAGCAATTTAAATAACTTTGAACACGGTACAGAAAGCATACAGTACTGGTGCTGAAACTCTTCTCCCAGCTCCTGTCCCTCATTGGAGAAACTCCAAAGTGTATTTAAGACAACAAGAAGGAAGGGATGCCTGGGTGGCTCAGTCGGTTGAGCATCTATCTTCAGCTCAGGTCATGATCGCAGGGTCCTGGGATTGAGTCCCACATCGGGCTCCCTGCTCAGTGGGGAGCCCGCTACACCCTCAGCCTCCTGCTACCCGCCCCGCCCCTCCCCCAGCTTATGCTGTCTCTCTCTGACAAATAAATATATAAAAAAATTTTAAAAAGACAGAAGTGGGTAGAGGGCTATGGCGAGTGAAGGGCAACTGAGTAGGTCAAGGTGGCAAAAAGTGTCTAGTGGTATGCTCTGGCTCACTGGAAATTAGTTATTTTTAGTTTGCAAGGGAAATTATTAAAATAATGGGGCACCTGAGTGGCTCAGTTGGGTAAGCGTTCCACTCGATTTCTGCTCAACTCATGATCTCAGGATTGTGAGATCAGCCCTGCATCAGGCTCTGCACTGGGCATGGAGCCTGCTTAAGATTCTTCCTCTCCCTCTGCCCTTCCCCTTCCAAATTTAAAAAGAAATTAAATAAAAATAAAAGATTAAAGTGCTTCTGGAAAAATCATAATGGAAATTATTCTTCACAGGTGAATTTAACCCATTTGCAGTTAATGTTATCGATAGGCTATTATTTATTTATGTCTTTTTTGTTTACTTTCTCTTTACCTTTTTTCTGCACCATTCATGTTTCCTGATCACTGTTGGATTTATTAAGTTTTCATTATTCCTCTCTTCAGATACATTCTATTTCTATGCTTTTTAGTTACCCTTAAAGTCTTTTACATCTTAGAAGGCCTAAACATTCTCCCTTTTTCTAGAACATGAGGACTCCCAAACTCAAACTTCCCTTTTCCACTTTTTGTTTTCTTGTTTTCATTACAGTTTTTGTATTTTATTGTTAAAAATTAACATATATGATATAATCAGAAAAATGAACAGTTTCATGGCTGGGGCGGGGGGGCGGGTAATGCCAATTCACCATCCATGTATAAATAAAGGAGAGAGAAGGCATTTTTGAACAATCTTTTTATAGAGTGAAAAAAAATAAAATATCAAGGTCTGACAAACTCTCAGAGGTGGGAGAAATCAAGGGATTTCTCACCTAAATGCTCTGTTTCAGCCACAGAGCACAAATAGACTAGGGAGTTCTGGGAATCCAAGATGTTTGGATGGATCCAAGCATAGTTTTGTTTTTCTTCTTGCCAGAATCTTGTACAGCCCAACAATGAGGTCAGCAACAAAAGCTTTCTAGGGAAGAGTTTATAAATAATTTTATATTTATATTCCTACTTCCACTTAAAGGAGGGAACAAAATAATTCATGAAACCCAGATTACATGTGCCCTGCTATATTACAATCAAAACTCCTTTGTTTTATTCCCTTATTTCCAGAGCAGACCATTGCACACTTCTTGCCACCTTGACCTACACATTAGCTCTTTTAAGGGGCCTCACATAATGCTGGCAAAGAAACCCCTACTTCCTCTCTTCCTGTAGCTTTAAGTAGTTTGGGGTTTCTCAGATGAGAAAGGGACAGGCTTGGGAAAGGGAGATAAGATGGAATGGCAGAACTAACTAGGACAAAATGAGGATTTCATGTAGGATATGAGAAAACAGTTGAGCTGGCAAGTCCTGTGATTAAATACCTAAAGAATTTCCTGCATGGCTGTCAAACTGATTTTTGAGGACAATTCTGAAAGAATGAGGTTCCAGAAATTTTTGGAACTGCAAGAGTGAAACCACCATGTAGCCTCCTGAAATACCTGGAGAGTGTTGAAGAAGATATTCAGGAACACTTGATAAAGATGGCAAGGTGGACTTTATTCGGGACCATCACAATAGGTATATGGCCCACTGTAATGGGATTTTAGTCGGGTAGGGAGATTGGGCTCAACTGTGAATACAGCATGGCAAGTGGGAATTTATAGCAAAGGAGTGGGGAGGGGAGGAATGGTCAATTGATGGAAAATTACTAAGAGAAAACACCAGAGGTAAGGAGGGTTCTGGCTAAATCGACCTAAAAGGAGTCCTTTCTTTTTTAAAGGTATTTATTTATTTGAGAGTGAACATGCATGTGTGAGGAAGGAGAAGGAGGGAGTGCGTGCATGTGTGAGCAAGAGCAGGGAAAGGGACAGAGGGAGAGGGAGAAGCAGACTCCCGGCTGAGCACAGAGCCCAACGTGGGGCTCTATTGCAGGACCCTGAGATCATGGCTTGAGCGGAAGGCAGCCCCTTGACCTAACAGGAGTCTTGCTGAAGAAAGGCCAGGGTGATCAGACCTCACCTGATGGACTGTAGAGGGTGAAGAACCAGATCAGGTATCGAGGGTAGGAAATTCTGGTTAAACTGACTTAGTGAGATTCTTGCTAAACCTAGATTTTATAAGAAAATAGAAGAGAAGGCCTAGAAGGTTTGGGACCCTGACTAAAGTTTGGTGAAGCAAAGGACTTTTGTCAGTAGACAATATTTAATTCAGTTCCTTAAATTCTAATATGCTTGTTCAAAAAAGTACTATCATTCACTTATAGTCAGTACACAATACGTTCTTCAAAAATGGCTAATGGAAGAAAAACAACGCAGAGTTGTAAATCAGCTTAAACTTGAAAAGGCTTGATTTCCAAATTCAGGTCCAGGTTGTTTTGTCACCACTCAAGAAGGCATAAAGGTTTTTGACATTATCAAGGAACACTGTGGACAGCAATAAAAACTCTAGCCTAAATAAAAACTCTAGCAATAAAAACTCACCCTTTTAAGGGAATATGTGTAACTTACATAATGTCACATTCCAGAGTGAAGTCCCTAAGCAGAGAAACTTGCTCTTTTCAACTTTACTAATGCTCCCTATGCTGTCACAGGCACAATTCCAGGCACCCCTAAGAGCTAAACCTGTATCAATTTCTTACAAGAAAATAAATATAGACCCAAAAACTCACTCCCCAAAAGCTGCAAAGTATCAGGACACCCTACTTATTAAAATCCAATAGAGATGGTGCCCCTGTGGACACAGTCACATCTTATGTAGATGCACCAACGAAAAAGAACAGGAATATTTGAAGTGCAAATGTTTTATTTACAAACTTATTTAAATACTTATTCTCCCCAACTGAATACTTATTGTAATACAGAATACAACTGCTTTTCCCTCACAAATCGTGTCTTAAATTGGTTGTTTTGCTGTTTACATACATAGGAAAACACCTCTGTAACAAGTTTTATAACTAAAAAGGAGACAGATCAATAACACTGCCTTGCCCATTAAAAGTGCCAGCAAATGGATAAAAGTATTACTGAACTGCGTATTTCATATTAAACCACATTTTTTTCACTTGCATGTTGTTAGGATTGGAAGAAAAAAATGATAGGTACCTCACTCTTGATATAATTTAGTGTAATAAACATTTTATACTCACACTTGTGTAATTCTATAATATTATAAAAATAAAAATCAGAGATAATAAGTATAATTTTCACTGATTCCTTGACTAATTTATGCTTACTTTCTAAGCACTGTTATTTATAAATGTTTTCTGTGACCTTTTTCTGTAAAAATTTTATTATCACTTCCAAAACATGATGGCACTGATTCTTTTTTGTGGGAATCTACTCTTCCAAATCCATTCAAATTGGTGGATTTCTCCCCGTGAATTCTGTTTTAATAAGATTTATCTAATATTTAAGGCTTTGTCGTATTCAACATGAATACTATGTATGAATCTTCTGATGTACAATAAGATTTGACTTCTGGGAAAAGGCTTTCCCACATCTGTTACATTCATAGGGCTTCTCTCCTGTATGAGTTATCTGATGTCTAAGCAGATGTGACTTCTTGATGAAGGCTTTGCCACATTCGATGCACCCATATGGTTTCTCTCCTGTATGAATTCTTTGATGTGTAACAAGCACAGATGTGTTACCAAAGGCTTTGCCACATACAATACATTGGTAGGGTTTCTCTCCTGTATGAAATCGAGAATGTTTATAAAGGGATGAGCTATACCTGAAGGTTTTCCCACATTCCTTACATTCAAATGAGTTCTCAAGTGTATGGGATTTCACATGCTGGGTAAAGGAGGAGTTCCAAGTGAACGACTTCCCACACTGATGGCATTCGTAAGGTTTCTCTCCCGTGTGGAGTCTCTGATGGACCACCAGTTGTGCTTTATGCATAAATGCTTTCCCACAATCATTGCACACAAAGGGTCTCTCTCCGTTATGGATTTTCTGATGAGTTGCAAGGTGCGCCTTCCTGCTATAGGCTTTCCCACAGTCACGGCATTCAAAAGGTTTTTTTCTTGTATGATTTTTTTCATGTCTAATGAAATGAAATTTCTTTTTGAAGGCTTTCCCACATTCAGTGCATTCATATGAGTTTTTTCCAGTATAACATCTATCGTAACTAAGTAAGTCTAAAGTAGGTTGTAAACTCTTCCCATATAATTTACATTTATATGATTTTTTTCTTGTAGGATTAAGACTTGTGCTCATGTTATAACCATGGAGTCTGTCCATAGTCAGAATTTTATTGAATGTGAACAAAACTGAATTCAAAAAATTGTCTTTGCTTTCCTGGTGCTTCTCTGATTCATCAACAAGTAGGCAATCAGCTTCTAAAAAGGAGTACAATAAAACATGTCTAGTTAATTTTTTCCATACCAGGTGTAGAAAGAAATATTATTTCAAATCCAGTATCTAATTCTGAAACAAATCCTAAATTTGCTTTGCTCCTGAGCTTTAAGAATAAAACTGCTGAAGAGGAAATGGGAGCAGATGAATGACATTAAAGAGAACAGATGGCGTAACTTGGGACCTATGAAAAGACCGTGCAATAGGCACAAATTACATTGAACAGGGTACAGATATCGAGGCATGGTTACCTCACATGAAGAGAGCCCACTGAGGAGATATGACCAGTGGATGAGGTGACCCAAGGAACAAGAGACTAGGGAGCTAAGGGAAGATATCAGAGGAAAAACTAGATCTGGAGATGGCAGGTTTAGAGTCCCCATTACTCCAGTCCTAGGTTACCCTGGTGGGAGGGCTCCCCATATCCCTCATTCACATCTCTTTTTCCTCTTAATCACCTGGCACAATGGCAGTTGCCTTCAGGGACATTCTTATGTGTCCAGCCCTCTAACTTCATCCATATCACAGGTGAGACGGGCCTGCAGCTACCACAGCTGGGATATATTCTCCCATGTTCTTGTAAGCCCAGCCACAGATTCTACCCATTTGCTATTGTTTTTATTCTGGCTGCATTTCTCTTCTTTTTTTTTTTTTTAGGGTGAAGCCCTATATAAGACCATTTGTTATACTTGTATTTGACAAGTACTGTTTTTACATTTTCTTTCAATCTACCTAAAAATTTAATCCCCAGAAAGCTGGGAAGTCACTTTTTTAAAATCCTGAAGTCACATTTTTTTCATTCCTATCCTCAAAACCCTAAAATCTCCAATCCATTTCTATATTAAAAGGGGGGCACCTGCTGGCTCAGAAGAGCATGAGGCTCTTGATCTCAAGGTTGTGAGTTTGAGCCCCATACTGGGTGCAGAGATTGCTTTAATTAAAAAAAAGAAAGAAAGAAAACTCGGTAGAAGGGGTTATATTCCCACTCTTAAGCTTCCCTCCTTGTGGAATGTTAGTACCACACCCCAAATTCTTCCTTCATGCCTCATTCTTCTCTGTGTAGCTGCCCCGAATACTGGGCTATAGCCATTAGTACACATCTCTTTATAGGGATTGGAGTTTCTGTCTTTTTTCCTTTCTACTTCAAATAATGGAAAGCAGTATCCTGTGTTACCTCAACTAGCAGTAACCAACTGAAAAATCCAAGGCACTCAGCCTGGTGAACAAAACTATACATTATAATCAATTCACTCATGGTATCTAAGCATGCATTCTTCTCATCCTGAACAAGTATCTTCTGTTCTAAGAATAGACTCTAAATAACTACAATATTTTGCTCATGTCCCTTCCCCACCTTAACATCCCCTACCTCATCCCCCCTCATCTTATCTAGTCCTTAGATATTCTTTAGGGAAGAACCATTGTTCCATGATCTCAAAAAAAGACTCCTCTGATCTTTGTATGCTTTTAACTTTAAGCTCCATTTTCTCTGTATTTCCAAGATTGTCACCACTGCTCCCCAAAACCATTCATTCTGACAATTAATTAGAACAGCAATGTTACTGTGCACTGAACAAATATTCCACACTCCTAAAACTTTAAAATGTTTTATATGGTTGTTTTGCCTTTTACACACCCAAAAAAATGGCAATGCATTGTTTTTTGTTTTTGTTTTTTGCTTTCTTTGAATCTTTCTCAGGAAACATAAAAAAGCCTCACTGAAAAAATAAGAAACACCGCCCACAATGCCTGACTTTACAACAGTGAATTTAAAAAATGTTTATTAAATATCCATTGTGTGTTCAGCAATGGTGTAAAAACAAAAAATGGTACAGGTCTTTTTCTTCAGGGCATTATCATATGAAAATATGCTTTATAAGCCATAGGGTTAAAAAAAAAAACAAAACTAAGAGAATATATATCAAGTTTTCACAGTAGAGTCCTAGGAGAGCTAGGATGGAGGTTCCAAGAAGGTAGAGATCAACTAGGCTGGAGTTACCATGAAAGAGGAGAAGAAATGAATTCAGACTTACTGGCATGCTGGGCTTAGTTAGGCAGAGAACATCAGCTTCCAAAGAACTGAGGCACAGAAGAAAATCATGTACAAAGTTCACTAAAGAGCCCAATTGTCACGGCATAGGGAAAAGATGAACAATTCTGGGCAAATAAAATGGGATCACATTAAAGAGGGCCTTAAAAGCCTTTTAAATATCACAGTACAAGTTATGAAGAAATAATCTGTGTTTATCTGTCAGAAGAGTGACATGGAAAATGTAATGATTTGGATATATCTTGCAGGAACATCTAAGATAAACCAGAAAATAGGATGAAATTGGCAATTTAAAATCATGACCAGCCTAGACACTGTATTGGGAGATCAAATTCACTTGGTTCATTAGGTCATTCACTATGTCATTCGAATTTGGGGGCCTAGGGGATCTAAAAATACACTTAATTTGTGTCTCAATCATTTAAAGTCTTTTATGGGCTCTGTGGAAAAAGAAAATTTTATTTTAAATCAGCCTTGAATGAACTAATAATTGAAATCACAGGTAATAAGTCATAATAGTATTTAAGGAGACACTCTTGAGAGAAAAAAGCTAAGTTGCTTACCATAGTGATGTGGAGCCGGCCAAGCAGCAGGCCAGCCATTATCCTTTATTACAATGTAAACAGAAAGGTGAAGGCTAAAGAATACGACATAGTGGTTACTATGAGAAAACAGATATGGAGGCCAGGTGGGAAAAACGGGGAGCTGGAGAACGGGGAGTTGGGAAAATTGGAATGGGGAGTTGGGAAAATGGGAATGGGGAGTTGGGAGACATACAGATGCCACAGATAGGACAAAGAAAATCACATTAGTTCTTCAGAGGGATGCGGTTTCTGAAGGAGCTGCCATGAGAGAAGTTCTGAAGGTGGACAAGAAGGCAAGCAGCAATGGTGGAGAAGCAGTAAGTGAGGGTGAGGACAGATTAGTGAGGAACCAACTCAAAGGAAACTGGGGAATTTCCAAATGATATCAGTATTACCAAGTGAAGCAGAGAGCTGCACTACAAGGTTAATACTGCCAGTTAGCAGTGAGACTGCAGATGAGCAAGGTGGGATGCACAGGTGGGTATATGCTACAAGAAAAGGAAGAGGTTTTTTTGAAAAGGGGAAATAATTAGAAAGGGCATAATGTTACTAAAAGTTTTGAAATAAAAACAACCAACATATACTGAACACATACTCTATGTCAACTATTTGAAAGATTTCATGTGGATTAACTCATATGATCTTTAAAAGAAACTTGAAGTGAGGATTAATATTATATCTGTTTTATAAATAAAGTTGTGCTACAAAATAATTAGGTTAGACAGTGATTGGTGGAGTAAGACTTTAAATCCACACGATCTGACTACCTTGTAAGAACTAGATATATGGAAAAGATGTGTGCCCATGTTGACGATAAAAGAATGAAGATTTTAGGAATTAAGAGCACAAAGCAAGGGCCTCCATGGAACAGGCAGTGCAGGGAGACAGGGCAGAGAGAAGAGGGACCTCCCTTCAGACAAAAGCTGAGCAAAGAGAAAGAGCAGCTCTGTGAGCACAGGGAGTCAAGGTGTCATCTGGGGATCTGACGATGTTATGGCAAGGGGACACAGTCACTGTCAAAGCTGTGTGGCTTTTAAGAAGGCCTTCCTCAAAGAGCTGCTTCCAAGCTACCTGTCCCTCACTGAACTGAATCTCAACTCCAAAGACTCCCATCTGCCCGGTTTTCTTTCACTCACCTGGACAGCGCCAGCATGGGTTCTCTCCCTCCCCCAGCCATGGCTCTTGTCCTTGCTCTGCCTTGAAGACGCCTTTTGTTTTGGTACCGGGGCCCCCTGTTCATGGGAAACAACACAGAACTGGAGACAAAGTGCTAGAGACAAAATCACTACCTCACAATTCAGGCTGCCTCCTTGAGTCTCAGGGCCTGGAAAGGATGACAGACAGGCTTTAGAACAGAAAAGACCCTTCTCCTCCACCTGGGAGACAGAAGCATAAACACTCTATCTGTTTATGCGTCATCTCAAAGGGGATGAAGAATCTGTGACCGCTAACGTTCAGGGCCAAACTTAGGAATGCTTCAGAACGTCCACAGCTTCCACAAGTCCTAGAGGAAGGGCACTAGGAGTATATTCTTAGTTCCACTGAGGAGTCACCACCCACTGTCCTTACCCACTGAGATGAGGTTTCTAAAGTTCTCCAACATCACATCCCAATACAAGGTTCTCTGATCACAGTCAAGCAGCTGCCACTCCTCTGGGGTGAAGTCCACAGCCACATCCTGGAATGTCACTGATCCCTGTAACAGCACATTCATCTTCAAACTAAAGTGTGCATCATTTGGGGACTTGCAAGAGAATCATAGCAGCCTCTTATGATCGTATCATATTCATTGTTGAGTTTTCAGAAAATATAACTACGGTATGCTTGACTCAGAATTATATTTTGTGATAGAAACAAAAATCACATTAAAAATATTTACTAGTGTCAGGACAGTTCAATCAGGTAAAGAATAGTCTTTTTAACAAATGGTGATGTGACAGCTAAACATCCACATGCAAAAAAATGAGCTGGACTCCCTTCACACACACACAAACACCTTATGTCATATGGAAAAATGAACTAAAAATGGATCAGAGACCTAAATGCAAGAGCTAAAACTATAAAATCCTTAGAATACATAGAAGTAAATCTTTCTGACCTTGGATTAGGCAGTGGTTTCTTAGATATGACAGGAAGTGTAAGTGACCACAAGAAAAAAATAGATAAAATGGAAATCATCAAAATTTAAATTCTGTGCTTCAAAGGACACCATCAAGAAAATGAAAGATGGGGTGCCTGGGTGGTTGAGTCATTAAGTGTCTGCCTTCAGTTCAGGTCATGGTCCTGGGGTCCTGGGATCAAGTCCCGCTTTGGGATCCCTGCTTGGCAGGAAGCCTGCTTCTCCCTCTCCCACTCCCCCTGCTTGCGTTCTCTCTCTCGCTGTGTCTCTCTCTGTCAAATAAATAAATAAAATCTTAAAAAAAAAAAAAGAAAATGAAAGACAACCCACAGAATGGGATAAAATATGTGCAAATCATATACCTTGATAAGAAACTTGTATCTAGAATATAAAAAGAACTCTTACAACACAACAATAAAAAGACAACCCAACTTAAAAATGGACAAAGGATTTGGAGAGGCTTTCTCCAAAGACACACATAGTCCATAAGCCACGAAAAGATGATCAACAGCATTAGTAAATACAAATAAAAACTAAATGAGATATCACTTCGCACCCACTAGGATGGTTAAAATCAAAGATAGACAATGACAAGAAGTGACGAGGATGTGGAAAAACTGGAACTCTCATATATTGCTACTGGGGTTGTAAAATGATGCAACAACTATGGAAAACAGTTTTACAGTTCCTTGAAATGTACCATATGACCCAGCAATTCCTCCTAAGTATATACCCAAGAAAACTGAAAATATATGCCCACATAAAAACCTATACACAAATCTTCACAAGAAGTATTCATCCAAGAGTGAAAACAATTTAAGTATCCATTAGCTCATGAATAGATGGATAAACAAAATGAGTTATATCCATATAATGCAATATTTTTTGGCATACATGTAACATTGATGACCCTTGAAAAAGGTGAAAGAAGCTAGTCAAAGAAAATCACACACTGTATTGTCTTAGCTACATTAAATGTTCAGAAAAGGCAAATCCATAGAAACAGAAAACAAATTAGGGCGGGGAGATGAGAGGAATGGGGAATGACTGCTAATATGGGGTTTCTTTTGAGGTAATGAAGATATTCTAAAGTTAGATAATGGAGACGGTTTCAGTGAATAGACTGAAGACCACTGAGTTTTATACATTTTAAATGGGTAATCTGTAATACTTGAATTATGTCTCAATAAAATTATTTAAAATACTGCTAATATGTCCTTCATTCACTCACTCATAAAATGTTTAATAAGGACCTACCAGACACTGTAGTAGTGATACAAAAAAGACTAAAGACTAAAGGTATTACTGGTCTCAGAGATCTTACAATATATTAGACACAACAAAGTAAAAATATAGGTGAGAAGGTTAACATGTCACACTCACATGACCATAATTAAATAGAAAATAAGGACTCTTTTTTACATGATAAAATATATCCTCTCAACCATAAGGCCAAAATCATGGTTAACTAACTTAAGCTGAAATTAAAAAAGCATGTAGCTACATACATATTACAAATAGATAGTTAAGACCATATAGAACAGGGGTCAGAAAACTACAACCCATACATTGGCCTGCTGTTTTGTAAATACAATGTTACTGGAACATTTACACCCATTCATTTACTTCAGCTGCAGAATTGAGTAGTTGCACAGAGTCTGTATGGTTTCCAAGACTAAAATATTTACTATCTGGCCCTTTAAAAAGTTAGGAGACTAGCTAGTGTTTGTCCTATGAATGCATAGATAGTTCGGTATTAAAAAGTGTATTAGAAATTCTCTAAATTGCGGTACTAAAGATGACAAAATATATTATTTTATCAACAGGTATTTTTAAAAACACATAACGGAAAAAGTTTCCAACTTGTGAAAACAATTTTAACAACCTAAAAGTCTTTAACTTGATTAAAAACAACAACAACAACAACAAAAACCCACTATCTACTAAAATACAAGAGGAAACAATGAAACACTGGAACCATTCCATTAAAATTGGAACAAAAAAGATATTGGCTAGTAATTACATTGAAAATTATAGTTCCTAGCAATCCTGTCCATTGCAATAAGACAAGAAAAAAATTGAAGACATACATATTGACCAGTAAGGCATAAAACTCCATTTGAAGAATATATGACTGTCTACCTAGAAAATCTAAAAACCAACTAAAAAATTCTTGCACTAAGAGTCCTGTAAGTTGACATAAAGTCAAATAGATAAATGCATATTTCCCAAACACCAAAATAGCCAATTAGAAAATATAATGAAAAAAGATCCCATTCTCAAGAGCAACCTAAACAATATGTAAGAATAAACATTACAAGAAATGTACAAGAACTATAATAATAAACCTATAAAAATGTAAAGAAGCGGGGGGTGCCTGGGTGGCTCAGTGGGTTAAGCCTCTGCCTTCAGCTCAGGTCATGATCTCAGGGTCCTGGGATTGAGCCCCACATCCAGCTCTCTGCTCAGTAGGGAGCCTGCTTCCCCCTCTCTCTCTGCCTGCTGCTCTGCCTACTTGTGATCTCTCTCTGTCAAATAAATAAATAAAATCTTTAAAAAAATGTAAAGAAGAATATTGTATTCTGTGTTCAATAAGAAAAATTGAACACACAATACGTTATTGAAGTTGGGAATTCTATACAAATCAGTGTAAAAGTATACTGCAATCACAATTAAAACACCTTATATACTCCTTTATAGAGTCTGACAAGTTGATTCTAAAATTCACATGGAAGAGAAAATGCTCAGGAGTACCAGGAGACTCTGGAAAAGGGTACAAGGTTTACTTATGGCTACAAAAGAATATTAGAAAGGCTATGTACCTGAACTTACAGATTGAGTTCATATAGTGCTGCTTACTGGCACTATGTTCTCTACTTACTATGGGAAACACTCTAAGAAAGTCATAGGAAATGTGATGTTATATTTATCACAGGGTTGTTGCTGTGAATGTTATTTCTAACATTATCTCTATGAAAATCCATTACAGTATTTTTTTTTTCAGAGAATTGAATCAGGAATATCTTTACTTATCTGAGGAATTATTTTGCTTCATCCTCACAGATAATACCAATACTTTAACTAGCTGGCTAGCCATTTTCTATGATTGCTATAAGGACTAGGTACACATATGCAGCTCAAATTTATTCCAACTATGTGCAGACCCTGTGACCTGGATATCAACTTACCAATTTTCTAAAATTTTTTTGGACTTGATCTATTCAATCCACATTTTCCCTGTCTATATATTTCCTTTTTATATGGATTTTTGAGAGATTTAAGTGACTGAATAAATGGATACCTTACCTGGAAGTTGATCATTTTCTGCAGCTCTTACACAGAGATCTATGAATGTAAAAATGGGGAAAAAAAGTATAGAAAGGTATAAAAAAAAAAAACAAGGAGCAATGTAGAAAAGAAAAGAAGCACTATCAGAACAGAAGGACTCACATTCCAGCTTCAGTAAATGTCACCCAGTGGGAGAATGATTCTAGAAGATGTCAGAAAAATCCATATTTTATAAGCACCAAACTCTACTGGTGGTTCTGTTATGAATATATGAAGGTCGGACAAGTATGTTGTACATTTCTGTTCTGCTGATCTAACAGCAAGTTGTTAATCTTTGAATCAGTGACATTTTTTTCTCCCAAAATTTATTCCAAGAAAATTTAAATGAATAAAAGACTAACTAAAAGCCTGGTCTCTAAAACTCTCTGGAATCTCTGCTCTGAAGCTGGGATAAGAGAACTCAAACTGGGTTGGGTTTTCTTGAGAAGGTTGGACCCAAGAATTTTTTTTTTTTTTTTTTTTTTTTAAGCTGGAGCACCCTTCAGTTTAAAGTCTAAATCAGCCTCTCTCTCTCTCTCTCTCTCTCTCTCTCTTGATCTCTCTTGATCTCTCTGGAAATTCACCATCTCCTATGAGCCCAGTATCGGTTTTTAAAAATTCCAACCAGCAAAGCTGGGGCCATAGAAAGGCTAAAATATGCAAAGGGGACTCACAGCTTTATTTACAGCCTTCCCTGGAAGATCTGCCGTTTCAACAGAGACCCTTTAAAAAAAAAAAAAAAAAAAAAAAAAAAAAGACTACAAATCGAAATTTACTCAGCAGTCACTGCTCAAATATTTCAAAAGGAGAATAAATTCAACTCTGTTTTTTTCACACGATGCTATCTTGCAAAAAAAAAAAAGAATAAAATTTGGAGCACAGCATAAGGAATACAGTCAATGATACTGTAATTGTCATATAAGGGGTACAAATGGTAACCACACTTGTGGTGAAATCGGCATAATGCATAAACTTGTCAAATCACTAAGCTGTACATCTGAAACTAATGTAACACAGTGTGTCAACCATACTCAGAAGAAGAGGAGGAAGAAGAGGAGGAGAAAGAGAAGGAAGAAAATTTGGTGAAAACTCATCTGGGTTTGAATCTCAGCTCTTCCACTTTCTAAGCTGTCAGTCTAAAGCAAATAACATAACCCCTCTCTCAGCTTCAGTTAATTCACATGCAAAATGGAGAGAATACTTACTTCAGATTATTGTTGTGAAAATACACTAAAAAGAGAACACAGCAGTTTCTCTAGAAATGCTTTCTTCCTAGATCCCTTTGAATGGTTTTAATATTACCTTTTGCAGGTTCTGGTAGGGCCAATGGTGTTCTTGTAACCAGGAAAGGTACAGCTGATGCACATAGTCCTACACAGTGATCTCCTACAAGAGCAGCAATGTAAACAGAGCCTGCCCCAGCCCCACCCGGAATCTGGGAACCCACCGAGTGGTAGTCAGACCCTTCTCTTGCTCTCTCTGAACTACTCCAGAATCGGACAGGACTCACACACCCGAAAACCAAATCACCGCACGTAGGGGTTGTGAAGTATTATCTTCTTTTCGGTAAGCCAATAAACTGGTCCCGCCCGTCCCTTACGTCCCCAGGCTCCACAGAGTCATACCTGCCAGCCTTTCACTGCCACGCTCCCAGCTTTGCTTGTAAGAGATCAGGTTACAGAGCTCTCCTAGAGACTCCGGGGGAATGCCGCGCTCTCACTTCATTCGGCGCAGGTTGGAAGATTACGGAATACCAGCTGGCGACCCACTGCGCGTGTGCGGAAGTAACTGACGCCCAGGTTCCCAGGTCCCTCCGCGATGCAGGCTGTTCATAGGGGACTACATTTCCCATAAGGCCTGTGGAGCTCGCTTCCAGAAGGCATCGGAAGCCTCTGCCTCTTTGGGGGACGTTTCTGGGTTGGCATCTCTGTGGCATCCCTGAGAGCTGCGCCCGTTTGTAAAAAAGAGGTGTATATATCATTTTCGTTAAAAAATATAAAAGACATCAGAATTTTTAAAAACTGGAAAATCTAAATCAGCGGTGTAAGATAATAATCTACCCTTAGTTCAGTTTCTTCTAGCAATGCGCCAGCTTAGGTCCCAGCAAAGGAGATGAAGAGGACCCAAGAAAGAAGACTAAGAGATAATGAGTGAGACAGACTTAAATGCAGAAGAGTTTGGATGTGCAAAATCAAGAGAAGAAAATGTTTCGAGACGTGGAGAATGATCCACTGTATAAATGCTAATGAGAAGTAGGATGATAACTAAGAATTGATCATTGGATTTATCATTGTGGAAGCTGTGAAAAAATGCCATTTTGGTGTAGTGGTAGAAGTTTGATTAAATTTAATAGGAATTTGATAAGAGTGGGATGAAAGAATGGGAAGAGAGGAAGTGTAGAAAGCAAATATAGACTGTACTTTTAAGAAGTTTGGGTTTTTAAAGATGAGTAGAAAAAGAAGATAGGGAAAATGTATTGGAGGTTTGAGGAGAGAAAAGGAATACTATATTACATTGATTCTAATAGACTTTTTGTATTTTAGCATCCTTGATTCCTTTTCCTTTCTCTTTGTCTCATTGTATGTTCTATGAAAGCACAATTTTTTTTTTTTTGCGATATTGTGACCTATAATAAGAAATATATATTTAATCCTCAACCCCATTTCTGGCAGAGTTCCTAAAACTCTTGGAATTTCCTAAATGATAATGGTGTTCTTTGTTATATTAATGAAGTGCTTTTGGACTGTACCTAAGGATGGGAGCTGGCTACCAGGAGAACCAGCCATATGGTTAGAGGGTTGGAACGTTCTGTCCCAACTCCTGTACTTCTGAGGAGGGGAGAGAGGCTGGTAGTTGAATCAATTGCCAGTGACCATTAATTTAATCAATCATGCCTATGTAATGAAGTCTCCATAAGAACTCAAAGGATGGGATTCAGAGACTTTCTGGGTTGGTGAACACATGGAGGTACAGGGAGAGTGATGACCTGGAAAGGGCATGGAAGCTCTTTACCCCTTTCCCATACTTTGCCTTATGCATCCCTTCCATCTAGATGTTCCTGAGTTATATATCCTTTTCTAATAAACTGGTAACCTAGAAAATAAAGTGGTTTCTCCAAGTTCTATAAGCTGCCTAGCAAATTGGTCAAACCCAAGGAGGGGTTGTTGGAACCTCCAATCTATAGCCAGTAGGTCAAAAGCACAGGTGACAACCTGGACTTGTGATTGGCATCTGAAGTTGGGGGAGAGGACCAAGCACGTCTATAGTTTTATCTCCATAAATATGTCATGGAATGTGTGTTGTTTGTTTCCCATAACTATGAATCTATTTCTGTTCTGATTGCTCCTTTGTTTTGTTTTTCAGATTCCACATTTAAGTGAAATCATATGGTATTTGTCTTTCTGTGACTGATTTAACTTAGCATAATACTGTCTAGGTCCATTCATGTTGTCACAAATGGCAAGATTTCATTCTTTTAAATGACAAATATTCTATATTCTTGTGTGTGTGTGTGTGTGTGTGTGTGTACACACACACGCACACACTACATTTTCTTTATCCATTCACCTGTTGGGCACTTAGGTTGCTTCCATTATCTTGGCTATTGTAAACAATGCTGCAGTGAATCTTGGGGTGCATATGTCTCTTCAAATTGGTGTTTGTGTTTTGGTTTTTGGTTTTTGTTTCAGATAAGTACCTAGAGGTAGTATTGCTGGATCACATAGTAGTTCTATTCTTAATTTTTGACGAATCTCCATACTGTTTTCCATTGTGGCTGCACCACTTTACGTTCCCACCAATGGTGTATAAAGGTTCCATTTTCTCTGCATTCTTGCCAACACTTGTTATTTATTTTTTTAATAATATCTAATCCACAGGTGTGAGGTGATCTCATTGTGGTTTTGATTTGCATTTCTCTGATGATTAGTGATGTTGAGCATTTATTCATGTACTTGTGGGCCTCGTGAGTTTGGAAATGTTCCTTCCTCTTTAATTTTTTGGAATAATCTGAAAAGGAGAAGTACTAACTTCTCTTTAAATGTTTGGTAGATTTCACCTATGAAGCTATCTGGTCCTAGAATTTTGGGGTTTTTTTGGTGGGGGGTAAAAATAGTGATTCAATTTCATCACTTGTATTTGTCTATTCAGATTTTCTATTTCTCCATGAATCAGTTTTGGCAAGTTGTATGTTCCTAGGAATTTGTCCATTTCTTCTAGGTTTTCCAATTTGTTGGCAATAATTGTTCTTGGTAAGTCCCTTATGATCCTTTGTATTTCTGTACTGTCAGTTACAACTTCTTTTTCATTTCTGGTTTTGTTTTGGCTCTTTTTTTTTCTTGATGAGTCTGCATAGAGGTTTATCAATTATGTTTATCTTCTCAAAGAACCAGCTTTTCATTTCAGTGATCTTTGCTATTTTTTAATCTCTATTTCATTTATTTCTGCCCTTAGGTCCTTTATTCTTCTAAATTTGGGTTTTGCTTATTCTTCTTTTTCTAGTTCCTTTAGGTGTAAAGTTATTTGCTTCGGATTTTTTTGTTTGTTTCTTGAGGTATGCCTGTATCAACATGAATTCCCCTTTTAGAACAACAATTACCACATGTGTAAGGTTTTTCTTCAGTGTGGATTCTGATGTATATGAAGATTTGCATTTTGGCTGAAGCTCTTACCATGCACAACATACTTATTGGGTTCCTCTCTTGCCTGCACTCTGATGGATGTGAAGTTTTGAGTTATCACAAAAACCTTTACCTCTCTTCACACATTTAGAGGGCCCTTCCCCTATGTAATCTCTGAAGAACTTGAAAACCTATATTCTACCTGAGGCTCTTGTCAGAGGTTTCTAACCATATGGATTCTCTGATGAATATAAAAATTTGAGTTAGCACTGAATCTTTTCTGCATCCCTCACCTTTAAATTTTTTTTTCTTCTCAGGAGAACATGAAGAATTATGTTACAACTGAAGCATTTACCATATGTATCGTATTTCTAGTTTCTTTGCTGTGTGAATTCCCTCATTATAGCAAAGATCTATGCCCTGTTTGAATCCCCAACATGTTAATCAGACTTTAAGGTTTCTGTGTGACCTTTCTAATGAGCTCAATACTCACTGAAGCATTTACCACACTTGCTACACTAATACATATTCCCTGTGTGGAAAGAGGGGAAAATCAGAGAACAGCAAAATTGGGGTGGGAATGAAAAATAAAATCACTGGACAAAAATACTTCAATGGCTACTTGAATAGCAGAAGAGAAGAGTGGGAAAATGCTTGGATCTCAGTTAACTAGATTACCAGGTCAAAGAAGTCTTAGATTGTAAGATAGAAAACAAAAAGAGTGAAATATGAGAGAGAAGATAACAGATGCAGAAGGCAAGTAAAGGAAATTTTACACGTAACAGGCACTCCAGAAGAAAATACTGGAATACTTAGCAAAGAAATCTTTCTAAG